AAAGATTAATCCCTAAATTAACAGGAGATGAGGCCTAATGGTAGATGTATGGGTCATGAGGGCTCTGCCATTACGAATGGATTCATATTCAATGGTTTAAATGGCTTGAGGCTATGAGATGGACTTCTTATACCTCATGTCTTCCTTTTTTTTTTTCCCCTTCCATGGGATGATGTACAATTTAGAAGGTCCTTAACAGATATTGATTGTCACCTTGATTTTGAACCTCCCAGCCTCCAGAACTGTGAAAAATTTCAATTCTTTTTAAATTATCCATTCTGGGGTTTTGTTACAGCAACACAGAATAGACTAAGATATGCTGTTCCACACTGTTCTGGCAAAAAATGATAAAACAAAATTTTAGTTTCAAGGTAAAAGTGTTCCTTTTCTCATCTAAACCAAAATGGCTCAAGATTTTAGGAAGAGAAAGGAAACAAAAGAAAAATTATGAAAAATGAACACTTTTAATTTCACAGAAGATTTGAAAACTCCCTGCTCCTACCTCCAAGAGAAGAAATATGATTGATCCCTCCATCTTGCTGGAAATGAAACTGTGGTGCATATGTGGATTTCATCCCTTTCTTGGATGTGAGGCTGACATAAAGACAGTTGTCATACCCAGCAATTGTCACTCCTTCCCCATAGAGAAGCCAACTGTGATTACTGTTTTTCTCATTTGGGTCAAAAGGACTTGTACCAAAAAAAAGATGCATCAAACCCCCATGGAATCTGCAAATGACAATGGCTGGCAAGGAAAGGCATATAAAAATCTCATGTGAGAGGTTTCAGAGAAAGTTTCTAAATGTAAGAAAGTGCCATAGGGCATGTTTTCTTAAATATCTGGATACTTTCTTCCTCTTACCCTTCTGTGAATTATCAATTATCATAAAAGCCTAAAGCTGAGTAGCAAAACTGGCATCAAATGCTACGGGGTATGGTGTCTTTCTAATTGACTTATTTAAGGAAAAAAAGAGCTTAAAAGAGGAAAAGCAAATAACACATTCAATGAACATAATACAAATTGTAGGAAACAACAGCTGTAATGTTGCATTTTAAAGTTGGAATGAGATTATGAACAAAACACAACAGAAGTTAATGGTAAAATTCCAGCTTTTTAATGTAAATGACTTGGAATGATGCTAGTGACTCATTCTGACAATATTAAACTTGGTAAAATAACAAAAAAACAAAGCTAGCTATATAGACTTCTTAGCTAGACATCAAAAGATTTATAAAAGAAATAACAGATAATCTGGACTATCTGACCTCTACTTTTATCAATCCTGGCCATGGTTAACAAACTGACCTACTGAAAAGGCTTCTTTAATTTCTCATCTATTCCTGCCACATTAGGTCTTCCCTCCCCAATCAGTGGAACAGTTTTTCCAGTGAAAATCTATTGAAGAATATGTTAACAGAACAGTGAGAAAAAACAGTTTATTACTCTGATATTCATCTTTCAGAAATGTGACAAATGGGTTTAGGTGAATTATATTATTAATCAATATCATTTAGAAAGTTAAGCAAAAATAGTTCAATTTAAAAATCCATTTAAATCCATTCAAGATACCTCTTTATAATTTACTTGAATCAACACTGATGTTATCCCCAAAACAGTCTTCTCCTAACAAACCTCTTACTTCATAATAAAAGTTTCTGATTCTTTCATTATTCAACAGGACTGGACAATTTAGAAGGTCCTTAACAGATATTGAAAACATTTCCAAATCATTTATCTGATAAAAGGATTGTACCCAGAATAAAAAAATAAATAAATAAAAACTCTTGTAACTCCAAATTACCCAATTTAAAATCAGGACTGGGAACTTGCGTAAATCCAGTGGATGCTTCCCAAATTATGTTTCACACAGAGGTTACACTTGATCCTAGCCAAAAGTCCAAAAAGAATTCACACACAGAGGTTAAAAAGTTGGTGCATGTGTGAGAAGGTGGGTAATAAGATTAATGAGGGGTGGAGGGAAGGATTTCATGGTCAAGTAAATTTGGAAATGATTCTTTTTCTGTATTTCTCTGAACATTTTTTCTCTGAGTACACTCATTAACATATCACCAAACATGAGTAGAGTTTGAAAAATCTTTCCACAATAGATTATTAAATTAAGTTAAAAAAAATCTAATTGCCTGCAAGGCACAATGCCGACAAGGCAGCAATAAGCACAAAACAACTAATTAGGAAATGTAGACATAATGCTGGTATGCTCACCTAAGTGTGTTGAAGAGCTAAATTAATAGTCACTCAACAGGTGTGCTGCTGACAGGTTTTTGCATAACCTTGAAGATCTTTAAAAATGCAGAATCTCAGCCTCCTTCCCCAAATTACTAAATTCCAATTGTGGAAACTATAACAAGTTCCCCCACATAATTCACATGCATAAGAGAAGCACTAATCAACAACAAAAGTTGTCATACTTTTTCTGGAAAAGGCCAGTTAATATTTTAAATTTCATAGGCAATGGGGTCTTTTTTGAAACTACACAACTATGTCACTTATCCAAATGATAAGAATCACTTATTAGAGAGAGAATCTGTTCCTACATCTAAGACAGGGTTTCAAATATACATGAAGAAAAAAAAAAAAGACAAATGAAAGAGGACATAGACAACTCAGCAATTAAAAGAGTTTTTTTTTACTAACTTCCTCTTAGTACTGATAGAATTAGACAGAAAATTAGCAAGGATATAGATTCATGAACACCACTACCAATCAACACTACCAAAGATATAGATACATGATCAAGCTGGTATTTATAGCACACTCTGCCCAACAACATAGCACCCATTCTTCTCAAGTGAAGATGGAATAAAACATATGCAAACTAAGTTCTCCAACCATATGGAAATTAGAAATCAGCAATATGAAGAAATGTGGGAAATCCACAAATATTTGGCTATCTCACAATAAAATTATAAATAACTCATGAGTCAAAGAAGAAAATCCAAAGGAAATTAGAAAATATCTTATGAGACAGCATAGTATTAGTAAATGTAACAAAATAGCTCAAAAGTAAAATCTTACATTTTTATCTAATTGATTTTGGATAAAGATGCTAAGGCAATTCAAGAGGGGAAAAGTTCATCTTTTCAAGAAACAATCCACATTTTAAAAAATGGATCATATACCCAAATATAAAAGCTAAAACAATAGAAGAAAATAGTTCTGGAAGAAAATACAGAAGAAAAATCTTTGTGACCTATGGTTGGGCAAAGATTTCTTAGATATTAAAAGCATAATCTATAAAAGAGTTGATAAATTTGACTTTATAAGGTTAAAAATGTTTACTCTTCAAAAAGCATCATTAAGACAAATAAATAAGCCACAGGAAGAAAACATTTCCAAATCATTTATCTGATAAAAGGATTGTACCCAGAATATATTAAAAAATTCTTGTAACTCCAAATTACCCAATTTAAAAATGATCAAAAGATTTGAAAACTACTTCAATAACCAAGTTAAGTAAATGGCTAATACACAATTAAAAGATGTTCATCAGTTATTAAGACACGTATAAATAAAAACCACAATGAGGTAACCCTCCACACCTAATTTGAGGGACTTTCTAAAATCAATTTTAAGAGTAAAAATGGAAGGTAAGAATCTGAAAATTGATTCTCTTAAAATTATATTTGCTGCCATACTTCTTAGAAAGCTTTTATGTACTTCCAATGGTACACATGTTTGAAAACCACTGGTATGAAGAAGGAGGAAGAGGAGAAGGAGGGGAGGGGGATGAGGAGGGAGAAGAAGAATCTGGTGACCAAGAAAGTATTTGGCTAATAGGATTTAATGACCTGGAAAAGCATTCTCCATGAATGAAGCTGACCTGAAAAGAAAAAGTAGTTAAGGCTAGGAAGGAGAAGGCAAATTCTTCCTTTGGTTTTTCTGATATCATCATAATTCTGACAGTCTTTAGCCCTGGCAAATAGAGCAAAGTGAGGAAGATATCCTCAGGCAACATCCATAATGTTTTCATCATTTGGATGACTCCCATGTAGGTGTCCTGCTGTAACCCATACTGACTAGAAAACACTATGCCCAGGCAAGTGTCCATATCTCCCTTTAACACTCATATCTAGAAATCAAGCTGCAGGAAGAAACTGGTCCAAAGCAAAGAACCGCACCTAGCAGAAGTGACCTTTCTTTATGCTCCACACCCCAGCCTGAAGTAGTCAAATTATAGCATTTGTCACACATAATGATAAATATTTGTTTACCTGCCAGTCCCTTCCCCCTCCCATTACAGACTGTTCCTTCTTTGAGGACACAGACATCTTGAGATCTTCAACACCTATCATAGTACATGGCATATAGTGCAGAGTCAATAAACTCACAGAAAAGACTGGGTTGGTTAATACTGTAGATATAATGTCCAACTGCACAATTTAAATGTCTACAAGGACCTTTGTAAAACATTTTGGAGGCAACAAATATATTGTAAAACACATTTTTCTTCCTTAAGGGAAGTCTCTAATCTATAATTAAGAACCTCATATGGTGTTATATATCTAATCCCCTTTTATATAAAATCTTCATAGAAATGGCTATACATAAAAGAAATATGCTGTCGTGAGACCAAAGGATTAGACAGAAGGTAGGTAACTGATTCTGTAGTAACTCTGGATATGCTCTGTCTGGCTTTCAGTTTCTATAGGTAAAATGAAAAAAAAAAAAAAAAACTCCTCAAATGCTAGTTTTCTAGAGTTCTTTAATTATGAGTGTTTCCACAATGATAAATCATGATGTAGGCAGCATATCACATACTGAATATTCCTAACATTTTGTTACCTTATCACTAGAGATCAAACTAAATTATCCTGTCAAAATGCATTCAGTGATTCAATTCCATGAACAAAATTAAATAAGCACAAAATAAAAATCTCCTTTTGAAATCAGAAATTTGACCTGATTGATTTCAACTGTTGAACCTTACATTTTATCACATATCATAGACATTGGACATAATTAAAACACATAAACTTACCTGCCAGGAAACTGCTCCCAAAATCGCTGTTGCAAGAAGACTGAAAAAAACTAACTGCTCTGAAATTAAGCAAAAATGACGCATCCCTTTGGATGCCATGATTCTATCAAGACTATTGTTATCTGTCCTGTGGGTAAAATATACTTTATGGCAGTCATTTAATTTGGTATGGAATCCCCAGAGAGTTAAGAGAAAAATAATATGGCAAATCATCCAGAAAATTCCAAAAATGGAAAAGCCTGGTATTACAAAATACCAGAGATGGGTGTCTCTAAGTTTAAATGCTGAAAGAATGAAAAATGTCAGCTCAATCATTCCAGTGAAAACAACTGAAAGTCTTCTGCAAATTCTTCCCCGGTACAAAAAGGGTTTCCACCTTTCAGTTACTGAAAGTCCACTAAAATAAATGTCGAGGAAAGGATCAGTTATCAGACAAATAAAAAAACATGCAAAAGCAATTGGATTTTGGGGAGTTTCCAATGAGGAAAAAAATAACAATACTGCAAAAATAACTAAGTTTGGAATAGCTAGGAAAGACTTCATTCTCAGGTCTGTAATCAGCATGGCCAAAGCTACAACAAGTAAAATGACACTCAGAGACTTCTCTACCAACATAGTTGTGCTGGCAATGGCAAATCCAACAAGTTCCAGAAATTCTACTGTGGTTAGCAAGGTGGGTCGATGACGGACATAACCAGAAATTCTCTCCACCAAAGCACATAATATCCTTAATACTATGGAAGTTAGAAGCAAATATTTGGTTGATTCTTCTTTCACATCATTTTTAAAGGATGAATTATCAAGAAAACATAGAAGACCAAGCAAGAACCCAAACCAAAGATTGGAGAGACTTAAACTTGCTGCTTCCATTGAAAAATAATAGTAGAGTATGCTGGCAATTCCAAGAACAAAAAGACCAAGAATAAAAATTACCAAAATTAAGGAATTTGCTGTTTTTTCCCATCTTACATAAAGACCTAAACATATAGCAACTAGTAAGTTGATTCTGGCTAAATAGCCAAGATATCTCACTGAGGAATGCATGTTCACTTCTCTATTTACTTCTTCCAGTCTTGTCATTGCTAAATAAAGACAATGACTAAAGCAGTAACGCAGTGATTTACACATGTAATCTGACAATTTAGGCTTTTTTCCCACGTTACAAAAATTAGTTTCTTGTATTTCATCCAACAAATCCAAGGTATCCGCAACTCCTATTTCAACATTTTCTCAGGTAGAGGTTTTGTTTGTGGTGATCTAAAAAGAAAAAAAAATTCAAAGTTAATTTTATATAATATTTTATGCCATCTTCCTTATACAATAAATAAGCACTTACAAGTATAAAATAAAGGATTTCTGAAATCCAGTTTAAAACCTGATTTGCATAAATCTTAATTAATAACAGTTTCTGGCTTAAACACTCTGCAATTTATCCAAAGGAAAGGGCTTGCTTCATACTTATTTTGCTAAAAATGCATGATTAAATCACCATCAATGGAGTCTCCTTCCAGAAATGGTGAAAAATTCACCTAATCCATTCTTTTAGCTTAGATTGTGGCACACAGCTTTTCACAATAACTAGCTAGTCAACTCTTAAATGGAATGAAGGACTTCATCATTACCTCTAATTTGAAAAGCACCAGCATACAGTAATAGCAACCATTACTACCTACCTAAAATCCCCTGCCTTTCTGCAAGGCAGCTCTAAAATACTATAAAATCTTACTTCTTATATTGTTTAATAAACTTAGTAGAAATAAATTTTAACTGTATTAAGTTATTCGGTCCCTAAAGGTGAGACATAATTATCCCTGTAGTTTTACCTCTACTAAACTACCTTGGTTATTCCAAATCTAAATACTACCTCTTTAGCAAATCAATTCCTGAATTCCCTAGTCAAAACTAAAAAACTGAAATGACGACCAATAGCCATTAAAAAATAAAGAACTATTTCAATTTTACTTCCAAAAAAATAAGTTATAGGGCTGGGGATATTGCTCAGTTGGTAGAGTGCTTGTCTGGCATGAACAAGGCCATAGGTTCAATCTCTAGCACCACCACCAAAAAAAAAAGGTTACTACATCTATTATTTGCTGGAGGATCCAGAAAGTTACTTCAAACTTAAGTGATCCCACAAGTTGCACCTAAAATATTATAGGAGTAAAAAATAATGATAATGTAAACATCTACTAGATAATTCCATCAAAATTTTCTAGTATACTGCTTCAGAAGAACTAATCTACTTTAATGGATTATAGTCACACAATATTCAAGATTTCAGATATTTAAAAATAACTGAGTATGTTGCTCAGTGGTAGATTATTTGCTTAGCATGTACAAGGAGACCCTGGGTTCCATCTCCAATGCTGCAAAAAGGGGGCTGGGCAACCAGCTTGTGATCAGCTTATTTATACTTTCTTAATAGCAATACACTAAAGACCCAGTGGAAACATAAAATAACATGGAATTAACCCTTAAATAACCATTTGGCTGGAGAAGAAGGTTAGTGAAATAACCTTAGGGTCTCTGGGAGGTTCTAAGTATTATTATCAATTCTACTTCTATATGTTTAACAAGCATATTATATATATATATATATATATATATATATATATATATATATATATATAGTTGTTGACTGACCGACCTTTATTTTATTTATATGTGATGCTGAGAATCGAACCCAGTGCCTCACACATGCCAGGCAAGTGCGCTACTACTGAGCCACATCCTCAGCCCCAAAAAGCATATTTTTAAAAATGAAATATACTTGATAGATTAAGTATTTCAACTGCTTCTCTTCTATAATATTTTCATTCACTTGTTACTTAAGATAAAACTTTAAAAATGTCTTCCTTTGTATATTTCACTTTATCTTAAGTAGGAAAAACTGATAAAATCTGGGTTTCACTGAGATTTTTTTTTTTTTTTTTTAAAAGAAAATATTACTCTTAGCTGTTAGGCAATCATTCAACAAAAGGCTGATGGTACAGTCTGGGGTCAGACTACTGAACACTGCTGGAGGGAAAAAAAATCATATTATGCTTAAAGGCATCTTTCTTTCTCTTAAATCTGATATCCACTTTCTACCACATTTTCACCAACTGACTGCCTCCTACAGTCATCAAAAGGGAATTCACTTGAGTTTCCAATACCACAAATCCATTTCTGGATACAAGGAAAGAAGAGTGTACCATCCCTATTTAGACTAAACTTTCATCCATACTGTTTCTCTTCCCTTTTGCCTCTTGCAAAATGTCACTTTCTCCTTTCTCCAAATTCTTACTTGGCTCTTATCCATTAGCACTTAAACATCAGTATATTTTTTTAACAAACTAAGGAAAAAAGAATAACGAACAACAAAATAAAAGCAATCCTTGTTCACCTTGTTCTTTCCTACCAAGTTCAATCTTTCCTCCTCTTGACAGCCAATATTTGATTGCTTCATTTCACACCCACTCACTTTTCAAAACACTAAACAGTGGTTCACACTAGGAAACCACTCTGCCAAGTTCTGAAACTTGTAAATTCCTAAATGAATACTTTTCACTCAGAATCCTGAACATTCTTTACAAAAATGTTAACATTGTTGCACTCTGTCATCTTCTAAAACCTTCCCCCACCTCCTCTGCTTACAAAGACCAAGTCTCTATAGGTTTTCTTCATAACCTACTTGTCTTCCTTGAAAGTTCTTTATTCTCAGCCCATCCCCTGGATACTCAATCCCAAGCCTAGACTTTTCTCTCACTACATACCTTCTTTGGGCAATTTCAATTATTTCCATGCCTTCAATTATATATATCATGGAATATATGCAATCAAATTCTTACGGAACAAAACAATATGGTAGGTATTTATTTTTAAATGGCTAATTTATAATGTCTTCCCCCATTCTTACCTTCTTCAAAATACAATAGTGAGAATTAGTAAAACAAAAAAGCATGACAATCCTTTTCAGTTAGTCTGCCATCAATAATGATTCAATAGAAAAATTACTGTGGGGCAGGTAAGAATGTACCACAAGAAAGTCAATAAGTATATGGCAAAAGTTAATTAACCACTTCTAGAGTCTAAATATTTATAAAATTCTGGGCTGGGGATATAACTTAGTGGTGAGGCACATGCTTTGTATGCACAAGGCCCAGGATAACATCCCAAGCACAACAAAGGGAAATATATATATATGTGTGTGTGTATATATATATATATACACTCTCTCTCTCTCTCACACACACACACACAGAGAGACATACACTACTTTAATGCTCCTCTCCTTTCCCACCATTTAATCCTCACGTGTCTATTCTTCTTTTTAAACATCTCTTAAATATTTCTTCTCATTCTCCAGTTCAACACCCCAATTTTGGCCATCATAATCTCATGCTTGAATGTCTCCCCTTATCCACTCTTGCCCTTCTGTAAGAAGTGTGTTTTCAAAACCAAAATTTATCAACTCACTCTGCTATGGAAAACTCTCCAATTACTTCCTATGACCCTTAGCAAAAAAAAAAACCTGAAACTCCTTACAATGTCTTATAAGGTACTCCATATTGGACCTGAATAAATTCACTCTCATGTCTCATCTGTTACCACTTTTCCTCTCACACTCTGTATTCCAGGCATAGTGACATTTCATTTCTGAATACCATATTTCCTCTTCTGACACATTCCTTTCTTTCCTTCTAGCCCCACCTGGTTTAGTACTACTCCTTGAATCTCAGTTTTAATAATTTTCTTAGGAAGAGCACCCCTGTTCCCATTATATGATCCATATACTTCCTTTATAGTAGAAAATTCATCTTCACTTCCTTAATGTCTGTATTCCCCACTATATCACATGGTTTCTGAGGATTCTTCTTCAATAATGCATGCCCAGTGTATAGCATAAAACCTGGCACCCAGTAAGTACCCAACTACTTGTTGAAAATATATATATATATATATATAAACTAATTCAGAAACAACTACTTTTAAAAATAATGGTAATGAGTTATTGAACACTTAGTAATGCACAAAGAAAACAACTTGTATAATATTCCACAGCTACTAAGTAGTAGAGCTAAGGAAGATTCCACGAATTTTTGGTTTGTTTTTCTTTTGGTCTTATTCCAGGCTTCGTTTAATTCACCCAATTTCCTCCAAACCGGTTCTGTCTCAGTGACCTACATGCAGGGGATGGCTTCAAGACACTATCATCTGCATACTCTCTAGCTAGGAATCTATTTTTGATCCATCTAAGGGAAGTGTCAAAAGCTGAAAGAACCACAAAGTAGCCACCGTCGGGAATTTCGGTCCTCCGGTTCAACGAATGTACCATAGGAAACCTCGAAGATTAAATCCCCCGTAATGGGCAGCAGCAGCGATTTCTCAACCATTGGGCCTCCTTCTAACGAGAAGCGGGGCGGTCACACCAGGACCCTGGCTGTTCATCTACCCCTTTACTTCCGGAGAAGGCGACCACAACGTGGCGTCCAGTTGAGGGGGGACCGCTGGGGGAATAAAGAGAAAGGGCCCCACACCCTCACCCGCCACTGTCAACGACTCCAGGGTCTGGTATCCCTTCCTGCGCCCCAGGAGGCCTCCTGGGCGGAGCTTAAAATCTGGACCACACGGAGCCCTGGGCGGTGTCTGTGTCCCGGCCCCGCCGCCCCGCCGCGCACCCCGTGGCCCCCCTACCTGGCTCGACGACCGCAAATGCTCTCTCGACCTGCGCAGGCCTACAAAGTAAAAGGAGGGAGGAGGCCTTTGGGGCAGAACCTAGGACAAGGAACGGGGAAGTGCCACGCCTAAGGGAACAAGGGCCAGAGGTCTCACACACTAGTACAAGCCAGTCTCAGTAGAAACTTTCTCCGTTACCGGCCCGGGAGCGGCCGCCATATTTCCGCCGCCGAGTCCGCCACAGTACGGATCCCCGCTGGGGTCAAACCGCGCGTCGCGCTTCCTTTCCAAAGCCCGTCCCCCTCTCGGGTCCCTCCCCGCCCCAACCCGGGCGCGGTGGCGGACCTAAGATTGTCCAGCACTGCTTCACCAGTGCCAACTGTCATAGCCAGGGCGTCGGCCTAGCTCCGGGGGCCTGGAAGCAGCGGAAGAGCGCAGGGAGTGAGACCACCAAGTATCACACACATCAAGCATCTAGGCCACCGCCCCAGGCTGGACCGAAACTGGAGCAGCTCGGGCGGGATCGCCGCATGTGGACTGTAAATACTGCAGGAGGCGTTGCTGTTCTTTAATATATATGACATAATATGGCTTTGTGTCTACTTTGTGTCAGACCCGCTTTCAAGCCCTTTTCTCCTGGCCCCAGCCTGCATTTCTAGTAAAGTCTACCATTAATCCACCACCTTGGCATCTTTCCTTTTCCTAGGCTCTTAGCTCTCCCTGACCTTAGAGTTCTTTAAACTCCAGGGTTGCTTCCCATTTGTACTCTGATCGTACTTAATAAACGTACGGAGGTATTATTTCTAGGCAACATTCCACAACAGCTGTGAAGCCAAATAGTCTAGAAGTTTAAATCCTAGTTGTGATTTCAATCTCTCTCCATCCATAAAATGGAAATAAATCCTTCTTTACAAGGTTGAATATTCACTGAAACTTTTTTCCTGGCATGAAGTAGAGTTAAAGAAAATAGTCAATAATATTTATTAAAACATGGCAAAGATGACTATTGAAGACCATATCATAAGTGTAGATACCAATGCAATACCATTTTTCCCATCTTTTTCTATTTTTTTAGAAATGCATTACAGTAGAGCATATTTTGACATATATGACATTTCACTCATCCTGTATTCATATAGGTACATAGGAAAGTTATGTCAGATTTATTCCACTGTCTTTTCTATTCTTTTCCTCCCCTCCATTCCCTTCATTACCCTTTATCTAATCCAGTGGATTTCTATTCTCCCCCCTCCTACCCCCAAACGCACTAATTGTGTGTTAGTATCCACATATCAGAGAGAACGTTCATTGTTTTGGGAGGCTTGGCTTATTTCACTTAGCATGATAGTCTCCAGTTCGATCCATTTATAGGCAAATGTCATAATTTTATTCTTCTTTATATCTAAGTTATTATTCCATTGTGTATATATACTACATTTTCTTTATCCATTCATCTGGTGAAGGGCACCTAGGTTGGTTCCATAGCTTAGCTATTATGAATTGAGCTGCTATACACATCTATGTGGCCATGTTATTATAATCTGCTGATTTAAGTCCTTAGGGTATTCTGAGAAGTAGGATAACTGGGCCAAATGGTGGTTCCATTCCAAGTTTTCTGAGGAATCTGCATGCTGCTTTCCAGAGTGGTTGCACTGATTTATAGTCCCACCAGCAATGTGAGTGAACCTTTTCCCCCACCTTGTCAACATTTCTCATTATTTGTCTTCTTGATAATTGCCATTCTGAGTGGAGGTGGAATCACAGGCAACACCATTTGGTGATGGGGTGGGCCACTCAACTCAAAATAGAGCACCAAAAAGCCAGCAGGTGGAAATTTAAAGCCAAGAAGCAGTTTTGGGTGGGGGCAGAAGCAAGACCAGGGGCAGTGGATGGAAAATTATTAAGAGAAAACATCAAGGGTATGCAGAAGTCTGGCTAAAGGGACCTCACAGAAGTTTTGCTGAAAACAGACCAGATGTCAACCAAAGGATAATGGAGCATAAGTGTGATTAGATGGAGAGGAAGGGTTTTAGCTAAACTGAGTTCTCTCACTAAAACTATATTTTGAAAGGAATGCACAGTTTGCATAGGAAAAAGTTGGGAAGGCTGGCTAAGTTTGGTTTATCAGAAAGTATGAATTCCCATTCTCTTTTCAAAAATGGTTTCTTCCTACCTGCCTTCTATTCCCACTATCATTTTCTACTGCTTGTAGCTCTTAGGTCAAATTATCTCTGAGACTCAGTTTCCTCCTACATAAATGGATGCTGATAACACCATTTATAAAGTTGTTAGGTTATTGTATGGATTTAGTGAGATCATGTATGTTAATGAAAAAACGTTATAAACCTTCATAAGGTTTATTCCATTAGAATAAAGATCAAAATTCTTAAATGGCCTGGGGGGGAGGCGGGTGCAACTCAGTAGTAGAGTGCTTGCCTGATACATGTGAGGCCCTAGGTTTTTGATTCCTAGCACTATAAAAAAAATCTTTAAATAAAGACCTGTAATCTGACCCTTTTCACCTTTGACTTGAACTCCCACACACTCCCCAACTCTGCACCCCATCCTGCTTTCATTTCCTCAAATGTAGGAACATGTCCAGTTTGGGACACTGTTAAATCAGTGGAGCACAGTGCCTGATGCATAGTTTCACTTGAGCATTTGTAAAATAAAATGACAATAAATAATAGGGATTCAACAATCACTGGTTCTTGCCACTTACTTTGTGTTAGTTTTATCTATATATTTTTCCTCTCTTTCCTGAGTGTGAATTTCATCATTTCTGTTTAATAAATCTTGCAGGTTGCTATGGGTGGTGCATCTATAGTGTTGAACCACTCTCATATTCAGATTCTACATAGGTAGATGGAATGTTTGAGTTAGATTCTGTATGGACTTTTGTCTAATTATAAATTCAATCACTATCCAATTCCCAAATCTGTTACTGTGGCTTTCTGGGAACCAGAAACATCTACTTAATAGATGTTTCTACTAGAATATGTTGTCATCACTTGCAATTCCATATGCTTTTATATATAAAAGTTTATATATATATATATATATATATATATATATATATATATATATATACACATACACACACACACACACACACCACTTTCAAAAATCGCCTTCCTTTTTGGGAAATCCTCCACCTTAGGAGTCTAGCAGATGAAATGACAAATACTTGCATAAATCATGTGTACCAGCTGAAAGCTAATGATTCAAAAAAGCAGGTACAGAAAGTTACATATCCTGGGCATCTGCAGAAGTGTAGCAAGTAAGCACCTGGGACAGTAGTGAGCATGGTTGTGGTGGTAGCATCCGGCATTCAGTGTGAGCTGTACAGAGATACAAGATGCCTATACTTGGTAAGGAACCTACGGGAGCCTTCTCCCAATTGATTCTGTAGTATATTATAGTCTGTGTAACTTTCTGTTTGGCCAGTTATGGTCTGTGGCCATGTAGACACAATCCTCAATCTCCAGCAATTATTTGAGCTAGCCATGTTCTCTTAACAAATTTTGTTTCTGTTTAAATCAGCTACAGCTATTTTCTGTTGCTTAGCACTTAAAACCCTTCATTAAAACAGAGCTTTGTCATCTTGCTCAAACACGATCCTCTGTATTGTGACCCTGAAGCCATTATTGATGCTTATTATTATGTCCATATACTTTAGAATATTTCAGTAAGATGTGTATATGTTTGAAAGTTAACTTTAATCTACACACTCCAGGGAAGGTGATTAGCATTTGAAAGATACTAATTAGGAGTCTTCACTGCAGAATTGGATGCACAAATGTTTTCAATATCACTATGTAAATGTGAACTGGAGGTACATTAATTAACATAAAGGATTAGAAAGAATTTTTCATTGTGGAAATGAGAGGTGTTCAAGATATGTGCTTGGCTAGAATATAGTACAGGCATTTCTGCATTTTCACGAGTGTGGTAAAAAATCTGCTGAGTCTCGCAGACTGACACCTTCAAAATAGCTCCCTGCACCTAGATTGTTCTTTAATACTTAGCCACAAGGACCTGTTTGTGTACTATTTTTTTGTTTCTACTTGCTGATAAATATTGGAATAGTAACATTCAGTGTGAGACTTGCTTTTAGTATAGGACACCACTGCCTAGTAAGAAAGGAGAAGGCCCTCATCAATCCTTGGTTACTGAAGACTACAAATATGTACCAAAAGAACCTGATAATTGTGAAAGACCAAGTGTTGTTCAGTTTTACCCACTCTCTTTCATTTATCATTTCTTTTCAACTTCCATTGCTCCTAACCTAGATGAGGTCCTGAGATCCAAATTACTTTAGTAACCTCCTGAAAACTTGTCATCTTCAGCCTCATGCTAGTCTAATCTATTGCACTAGCCTCTGGCTGATATCCTCAGAGCACTACTCTGTGTCACTTCTGGGATTAAAACCAGTGACCTCCACAGGCTACAGAATAAAGCCCAAATTCTTTAGCCTGGCACCTAAGGCCGCATAGGGCCTTTTGCCCAGTGCTATTTACCCTGAAATTAAAAGTGTCAGGTCAGTTCCTGACATCTGGCAAATCCACAGCCAAACACCTACATATGAAACAGCCACCTGATAATGATCCCATGATGGAGATTTCATGCTGTGGTAACTGATGGCAGTGTAATGGGCTGAAGAACAGGAATTTCCACTCTTTAACACCTGCTTGATGCAGGAAGGACCTATGTGCTCCAGGCTAAGAGTTTCAACCAGCAGAATAAGCTGAGACTTGGAACACCTGTAGGAATGTAACCATGAAAATAGCAAGTTAAGGCGGGGAAGGCCAGTATTTGTCACCAGAGGAGCAGCTGATTCTATCATACATCTGGGTCCTTGTGGCAGCGAGCCACAGATGAGTCATTGTCAATTCTTCCTATGTTCTCTTGTTTTCACTATCCTCATATGGTCCTTCACTCTATGCCTAGGGCTAAACTAACTTTAGGTTCTGGTAGGCAACCTCCCTTGGAACACTATGTAGCACTTTGTGTTTTCAAAGTGCTTTCACCTATGTTATACAATCCTCATTCAGTAATACACACACAAACAATGAAAATAGTTTCATCACCATTATGCAAATGAAGTAACCAAGGTCCAGAGAAACTATAGTGTTCTAGGTCTTCATAACTATTTAGGAGAAGGGACTTAAACCTCAGTCTTTCAGCCATCAAGTGCAGCTTTCCAAATACCAACCATTC